CAGTTACCATCACTCGCACCATAACGAGCACCGACTGCGAGCGCATAGGGATCAGTGCCACCATTGGCTCGTCGATGATTGCCAGTGGCCTCAGTGTAACCGAGAGTGTCCTAAAATGCATAAGAATTATATGGATTAATCTGTGTATTAAATTATATAATCTTGGTTATTTACTAATTATTATTATTATTTTCCGTTTTAAGCTCATTTTAATTGTATAATATCATAATCAAGAGTAATTAGAAACCACCATGTACATATATTTACCAAGTTAATACTGTATTATATTTTAGATTATACAAGTTTAAGACACTATTGCGCTTGTTAATTTATTAATTGATTTATAAAATACTTAATTACATTTTTATTATTAATTTTAGTATTGTTTTAAATTTGTTATATTAAAAAGATCTGTCGCATAATTATTATTAATGAGAGTATATTATAATGTGTAATGTATTGTATTGTAAAATTACTCGAGCCAGAACATTTTTTGTTTATCATTATTTAACAATGATAATAATGTAAAATAAATTTAAATTTCATTAAAGAATGATAACGTGTAATATATTGTAGAATTTTTAGTACATTATACAAGTATATAATTAATAAAATTCAATTGAAAAAATTTTAACATTATTATTACTTTTATTAAAATAGTTATAATTTTTTAAATATAAAAATAAGCAAACTGCAAATAATATCTAAAAAATAATTGAGAGTTAAAGATTCCAATATTTACTTAAATCTAGTTAATAACATATTATTTAATGGATATTATGATATGTTACAGTTTGATTGATTTGTAATTATTTTAATTTGTTAAAACATAAACTAGTAGAATTGATATTTTTAAAACTTATATTATTTATAATTATTTGTTTATATTTTAATTAAATACTACCTTATTGATGATCGAATTAAATAAATAATAATTTAATGGTGCAATTAATAAACGAATTAACTGAAAATCATTAATAAATACTGATTTATGTTAAAACAATAAAGCTATATAGAATTTATACATTTTTATCGTTGTATTTTATTTGAAGACAAAATATAATTAAATTGTTATTTGTAAACAAAATTAGAAATATATTTAATAAATTATCTAGATGCAAGTTTTATTATAATTATGAACAACTATTTATTTACATTTTGTTGGAATAACTTTTAATAATATCTTATTATCATTATTAATATAAATTTTATTACCGCTGTTTAATTATATAATGTTAATAGACAATAAGAACATTTAAGTTTATTTATTAATTATAAATATTTGACACTTTTGCAATATCTAATAATATTAGATCTAATATTTTAATTAATATACATAGTATGTTATATAAAGTCAGCGTACATATTTAAATTATCAAGTATGTTATTTTTATATATTATATAATTATAAATTAATATATATATTTTGAAGAGGGACAGAAGGGAAGGGTAGCGAGATTCTATAAACCACATTCTTCATTCTGAATTGTGGGTAAAAATATAGAAATAGTTCTAAGGGATTTAGTCCATTATTTAATTAATTATGGTTAAATAAAAGTGCATTTAATGGATAATGTTCTACATTACAGTTTAATTAATTTGCAATCATTTTATTGTTGATTATTTGCTTGTATTTAAATTAAATATAGTAATGATTTTCTATTTATAAAAAAAAGTATAATATTAAAAATACGTTAATAATCCAATTATTTAATTAAATCAAGTTAATTGGCAGTTTATGTTAGAAATTATATTCTATATTACAGTTTGATTGATGTGAAATTTTTTTATTTTATAAATATTGTTACCCTAATTTATCACATATACTCTCGTAGTGGTGGTATACTCTCGTCAACGCGTGACGAG